GAAATTGGGGGGTATAATCCAGGCAGGTGGGTAAAAACGGCCTACCCAAATAATACCCCCTTTATAACTAAATCTGTCCATGTTAATAGAGTGAAATGTAGCATTTTACACACAGTTTTGCTGCTTGTGTTGGTGTTCAGACCCATTTTAGGCAGCGTTTGTGTACTTGGAGAAAAGAAATTATTTATAAAATACTAAATAAATATGTTCATAATCTGTTAAAGTTCATTATGACTAAACCTATCGTGTCTTTATACTTTCATATTTTATTATTATCATGTTTCTTGTTGTATTATGTGCACTGGAAGCTTCAGTACCAAGACAAAATCCTTGTGTATGTATTTTATTTCATAAATTTATTGGAATATTATAAACATTTCGGTGTAAGTGACAATATGATGCATAGCTTGGTTTGCATCTAAGCAGAAAAGAAAAAAAGAAGAAGAAAAAAATGGAACAAATTACGCCATCGAAGCGTTTATCAAAAGAGATTTGCTACGGACGTGCCAGTTTCCTTTACGATTAGGGTTGAAAAGCAATTACGTTTCTGAGTTTATACTGCCATCTACAGGAAAATAACAGATTTTCTTCAATTTGAACGTTTGGAGTGGGGATCAGTGAAGCGTTTAACCGAACGTTGCGTGTTTTAACTGCCATCTACCGGAAACACGACGGTACTGTCCGCGTGCACGCGAAAGGGGGTAGTCTTTTGCCGGGGGGTCGGAATTAGGCACAACACCGGCTCCCGCTTTGGCGCATGTCACGTTGGCTGCATTGACGGAAATAAGAGGGAGGGGGAGAGCGAGGAAGCGGGAGCCGGTAAGAGGACTTTTCACGAGTGAAGGTATTATTGCGCCAAGTTGAAGTGCTCTAAAGCACTTTTTTATGGTATTCCGCCATACAATACAATATAGGGAAAACGAGGAAGTGTTTTGTCACTTCTCTTTCTGGCCCATATGTAATGCACTGGGCTAAGCTAAGTGCTAACATAGTTTTGCGGCAATACAGAGCAATAGAGTGCACGCACTGAGACGATATGCATCAGCTCGTCTTAATTAAGGGAATAACATAGTTTAATATGAAAACCCGGTGGAGTATCCCTTTAAGAAAAACGTCTTTGTGGATCTTTTTGCGCTCTAGAATCTACATTTTACAAACTTTTTTTACTTTTCCTGAACGGATTTATGGATGTATGGATTTTTGTATCATACCTGTTGTGGCTGGCAATCTTCTTCGTACAATATCGGCTTGTACCTGAGCCGCTGCATCAGAGTTCTTTATTGTCTACTTGCATTGTGGTCTTGATATCTCTTACCGACACTAGCATCAACAACAGCATAACATCTCCCCGGCTTGGTGATCAGCCAGTCAGTGGCTGACAGCCACTTGCTAGCCGGCTGGACAATCTTCGGATCTACTCTGTAAGCGACATGAGGCTAAAGTACTCCATCCCACAACTGCTTGACTTGAGGAAGAACAGCAGTCCAACATATATCTCAGCCATTAAACAACTTAAACTTCAAAGCCGACCACGCTACATCCATAGAAGCTGCCGTAGAAAGTTTGTTCTCTCTCCCAGTCTGGCGACTCGATTCCGTCCCTCTGGTCATCCGAGCGCTCTGTCGCGCGGAATACGTCATCAGAACGCCCCTCTACCTGGAGTAAATAGCGTTGAGGAAACCACGGAAACTACGTGGATAAGACCCGTCTATACGGAGCGGAACATAAAACGTGGAGTGGATTTCAGTCTACTTCGTTCTTTACAGCACATCACTCCATCAAACATCAAAATTGAACTGTTTAACACACACACAGTCTCTCACAAATAAATCTTGTCTTATACACAGCCATATATTGGACAGGAATATTGATATCATGTGTCTTACTGAGACCTGGCATCAGCCAGGGGGCTTTTTTGTATTAAATGAAGCATGTCCTCCTGGTTATCAATACTTGGAGAAAGCCCGCCAATTCGGACGCGGCGGTGGTCTAGCAGTACTACCGCAGTGACTTAAAACTCATCCCACTGTCCCTGCCCGACCTGCTCACTTTTGAATGCCTTGCTTTCAGATGTAAACCCCCTTGCTCTATGACTATTCTTCTCATTTACCGACCTCCCAAGCAAAATCCAGCTTTTATCTCAGAGATAAATGAATTACTCACTTCACTCTGTGCCACATCTGCAAACATTGTTGTACTTGGAGATTTTAACATTCACGTTGACATCCCCTCCTGTCATTCAGCAGCTGATTTTCTACAGCTATTGGACGGTCTAAATCTCAAACAGCATGTTGACGTCCCAACCCATAACAGAGGACATACACTTGATCTGGTCATTACTGACTCTGCTCCCATTGAAAATCTTCTGGTATACGATCTTGGAGTGTCCGATCACAAAATCATCTCAATGGAGGTGAGCTTTTCTCATTACATCAAACCAAAACGTCAAATCTATTTCAGAAACATAAAAAACATCAACCCAGACACGTTGGCTTTGGACCTTCTAAAAATCCCATCGGCAAATTTTACATCAGTAAATGAATCAGTGGATTTTTATAACAGCACCCTGAGCAGTATTTTGGACCTCCACGCACCTGTAAAAACACGAATAGTCACTTTCTCACGTACATCTCCCTGGTTCACTCCAGAACTACGGAAAATGAGAACAGCTGGTCGTGTACTTGAGCGGCGTGTTTCAAAAACGGGACTTACTGTTCACAAAATAGCCTATCAAGAACATCAAAAGGCCTATTCAATGTCGCTAAAAAAGGCTCGGACACAGTTTTATTCAAATATCATTAGTAAAAATAAGGGAAATTCCAAGCAGCTTTTCCCTACCATTAACCATCTCACCAAGCCACAAACTATTTCGCACAATGACATATCAGAAGAGAAATGCAACAGCTTTATCACCTTCTTCAGAAAAAAAGTTGAGAACATTCGCTCTCTCCTTTCCAGCACCCCTGCTCTGTCTGTCCCCACTGCCGACCCACAGCCTGGGACCTTCCAGTCTCTCTGTTGTCTTCCTGAAATCTCTAAACAACAAGTTGAGGACATCATCAGCAGGATGAAGGCTTCCACCTGCATGCTGGATCCTTTGCCTACAGCCCTGGTAAAAACACACATCAGCTCTCTTAGTCCTTTAATAACCAAAGTCATCAACCATTCTTTATGCACTGGTCACGTTCCATCTGCTCTAAAAACTGCTGTCATCAAACCCCTTCTAAAAAAAAAACACTTTAGACCCTGAAGTTCTTGCAAACTACAGGCCTATTTCCAACCTTCCATTCCTGTCCAAAGTTTTAGAAAAAGTTGTTGCTGCCCATCTTCAGGATCATTTAAATTCAAATTTCCTTTTTGAAAAATTTCAGTCCGGTTTCCGTTCCGCTCACAGCTCTGAAACAGCCCTGATCAGGGTCACTAATGACCTGTTGATGCCGGCCGACACCGGCACACCATCGCTTCTCATCTTACTGGATCTTTCTGCAGCTTTTGATACGGTTGATCACAATATCCTCCTTCAGCGTCTCCATCATACTATTCGACTCTCGGACACTGCTTTGAGCTGGTTCCAGTCCTACCTGTCTGGAAGAACAGAGTATGTTTCCTTAGGAGGTGTAAAGTGTTCCTCAAGTGTCCGTTCTCGGCCCGATTTTGTTCATTATCTATACTCTGCCCCTTGGCCACATCATCGACAGACATGGAATATCATTTCACTGCTATGCCGATGACACTCAGCTATATATAAAAACTAACCTCATCCCATCTAAAGCCACTCTGGCATATTTGAGCTCCTGCCTTGAGGAGATTGATGCATGGATGAAGGCAAACTTTCTAAAACTAAATAGCTCCAAGACAGAAGCTATTTTAGTTGGTACACCACATCAGGTCCAGTCATCACCCATAACCCACATTACCTTCTCTGGTCAAAACATTCCTCTATCATCAACAGTCTTAAACCTGGGCGTACGATTTGATGCTCAACTCACATTTGACGCCCACATAAAACATCTGTGTAAAACCTCCTTCTATCACCTCAGGAACATTGCTAAACTCCGTCCCACACTTGGTCTGTCAGATGCTGAAAAACTGGTCCATGCTTTTGTATCATCGAGGCTGGACTACTGCAACTCTCTCCTCTTTGGGATTCCTGGCAAAAGCCTTCAAAAATTACAATACATTCAGAACAGTGCTGCAAGGATCTTAATGAGGAAAAGAAAAATTGAACATATCACTCCCATCCTTCACTCTCTTCACTGGCTTCCTGTCTCATACAGGATTAACTATAAAATCATCCTACTTACCCATCAATGCATCCACGGCAACGCTCCCCCTACTTAAAGGAACTACTCACAAAGCAAAACTCTTCACGTAATCTCCGCTCTGGAAACAAGGTCCTTCTTCAACCACCGAGAACTAAGCTCCGTACTATGGGGGATCGTGCCTTCTGCTCAGCTGCACCGCGTCTTTGGAATTCCCTTCCAGAAAACCTAAGGGCTCCTCAAGCCATAGACTCTTTTAAGAAAGGACTAAAAACCCTGCTTTTTAAGCAAGCATTTTCTACCTCTTGCTAACTTTTTAATTTTTCTTCCTGGTTTTTATCTTTGTTTTTACTCTGTAGCACTTTGGGATTGTTTTAACTATGAAAAGTGCTTTACAAATAAAATATATTATTATTATTATTATTATTATTAAATCAGTTTAAGTGCGATTTCATGTTAATTATGATTAATCTGCAGCTCTATTTTATACAGTCCCGGCGCTTTGAGTCACTAGTGCCCGCCCTGGACGATCCTGTCTCTCTTCATCAACTCTACGTCACGTCTCATCTTATTTCATCGCGATCAAACTCTTTTATTATGCAACATGCAGAATTCAGCACTGCAAACTCTGAGTCCAACGTTTTGAGCGGTGAGTGGATTTTAGTGCAGCAGAAAGAGGCTGAACACTTCAAATATACTACATTGTGATTCATGTGTGAGAGTCAAATATGATCTTACCACAGTTTCTCCAGTTTACAGTGAGGATTCTGTAGTACATCACACAGCAGATTCACTGATTCTCCCATTTTATTCCCAGACAGATTCAGTTCTCTCAGGTGTTCAGGGTTTGATCTCAGAGCTGAAGTCAGAGCAGCAAAACCTTCATATGTGACGCCACAATAACTCAACCTGTAGAGAACAACGACACACACTTCACTCTCTCAGTTCAGATCAGATCAGTTTAGCAGTGAATCCATTATTAAAGAGAAAGTTCAAACTTAAAGCACAAATTAATATGTTTGAGGGATCATTAGATTGAGATCTAAAATGTCACAAAACATGATCATACAACATCTAAAGTATCATTCAATCAGGAAAAATAATCTCTTATTTGCACTATATTAACAGGGTAGCAGCACACTTTTTAAAGTCAAATTTAAGGCTTTTTAAGACCTGAAGAAATCAAAATAAATACTGTACATTAGGGGTTGAGCAATATTGACAAAAATATATATTGATATTTTCAAAGTTTTGTTGATAATAATTAGATGATATTTTACTGATTGTGTTTTTGTACTGGTACCATGGCTGGTTTAGGCTTTTTGTTGACAGCTGACTCAAAGATATTCATATTTTTCATATTCTATGCAGTTTTCAGTTCACAGCAGTGACAGAGTTTAATTTGTTTTTTAAGGGCCAATATTTGCCACTTTAAATTGATTTCCAGGGGCCTTTTCATCTATATATGTACACATTTCTAAACATATTAGAGGTAGGTATGAATCACCTTTAATGTCAAAATCTAACATTTAAATAAAATTCTATTAAAATAATAACACAGTCCAACTGTTACCAGTCAAATAAAATTATTAAATCAAAATCCATCTTTGCAGTGCAGAGGAGACACAGAAACTGCATCAAAACTGGCATTAATATTTTTACATTCCATTTACAATTGCATTAATAAAGCTATGAGATTTTTATGCACCAATTAAATATGAAATAATTTATAATTTTACTTAAACATTTTAATTAAAGGGTAGACTACTTTAAATGTGCAACTAAAACCGTCAGTAGGCGGCGGTAAGTGTCTTAACTGCTTAAGTGTTGCCCCCCTTTTTTAATATACATGAAAATGCACATTTAGAACTTAAATGGTTGTAATTCAAGAATGCTTTGGAATATTGACGTAAGATTGGTTTAAAGAAGACATTTTGCAGATTTTTATAGAAGTGAAAAATGAAGAAAGTCAAACAGAAAAAAGTTATAGAAATTTGAGTTCATGAAAATGTACAATATAAAAAAATATATATTATTCATATTTTTATGAAATATCTATTTTCAAAACCTGTGTTAATCTAAAACTGCAAAAAAATGAAAGCCAAAAATTTTAAGTTGTGTTTCAAATTTTAAGTTTATATCTAAAAAATTAGCTTTCATAAGATTTTGATTTCAAAGATTCACTTTTCACTACATAGGTTCGTTTTACTGTTACTTACTAGACATGTACTATGTTGGAGTGTCAAAAAGTGTGTGTGTGTGTTTTATAAAATGAAAAACAATCCTCTAGAAAGAGTCACTGCAGAAAGATGAACATAATTAACAGTAAGAATGAATCCAGCATGTTCTTCATTTCTCAGTTCTGACGGTGTTGAGCTCGAGTCTGTTTAAAGTCAAGAGACTGAAATGTTGATTGTGTGTGAAAGTGTGTATTTCAGTGTGACTCTCAGTCCTGCAGTTTCATGTTATTGAGGATCAGCTCGTGTGTTCAATCATTTACACTCATTAATCTGAACTCACAGCAGCAGAAAGAGGCTGAACACTTCAAATATACTTTACATTGTGATTCATGTGTGAGAGTCAAATATGATCTTACCACAGTTTCTCCAGTTTACAGTGAGGATTCTGTAGTACATCACACAGCAGATTCACTGATTCTCCGATTTTATTAAATGACAGATCCAGATCTCTCAGGTGTTCAGGGTTTGATCTCAGAGCTGAAGTCAGAGCAGCAAAACCTTCATCTGTGAGATCACAATCCCTCAACCTGTAGAGATGAAAATCAAATAGCAGAATTTAAACACTATCAAACAGTTTTCCACAAATTCCAATTCTTATCCAAGGTTCAGTGCCGAGTTTTTCACGCTCATGAATCCTCTAATTAACTAAAACACAGATCATTAGCAAGTTAGATTTTCTTTATGCAGCGTATACTTTATTGTTTATGTATCTTTGTGAGATTGTGAACTGAGATGAGTGACAGATTTATAATGATTGTAAAGGGAGCGCTCTTCCGAGGTTATACATAATCCATTGAATAAAAGTTTAGTTTTTCTTGCTGCTGAGAGGACCGATGGCCAATTACACGCTGCAAAACGACACGTCAAAATAGATACACACGACAGATTAATAGAAAAATATTCATATCAATATATTTTTGAAATTCCGTTCCAAACATTTGTAAACGTTCTTTATTTGCAAAACCAAGTAAACATTAATTATTTTTTCATACACTGACTTTGTTTGAATGCCTGAAGGAATTTAACATTGTCACAGTTTAAGAAACACATCAAATCCTGACCACTGAACTCTACACAACATCTGCAGCACTGAAGATTGATGAACTTTTATTTTCTAATGTTTTAACAGTGAACTGATTGTTCTGATTGATACTTACTGAACTGATCTGGATTCTTTAATCACAGGAAGCAGCTTCTGAAGGACCTTTAGTGGTTCAGTTTTATTGTTTCTTCCAACAAAATCATTAAGATTAAACTTGTCCAGCTTCTCCTCTGATGTCATCAACACAAAGACTAAAGCTGACCACTGAGATGAAGAGAGTTTGGCTTCCTTTATTCTTCCAGATTTCAGATACTGTTGTATTTCCTTCACTAGTGAACGATCACCCAGTTCATTCAGACAGTGGAACAGATTGATGGATTTCTCTGGAGAGTCGATGGTCCTGATCTTCTCCTTGATGTACTCAACTGTTTCCTCATTGCTGTCAGATGTTCTCGTCTGTTTCATTAGTGTTTGTAGGAGAATCTGGAGAGACTTTACTGACAGACCCAGAAGAAACCGCAGGAAAAGATCCAGATGTCCATTTTTACTCTGTAGAGCCTCTTCCACAGCTCTCTGATGCAGCGCAGATAATGAAACATGTTCTGATGAATTTTGTGAAACTTCTTCTGTTGGAACATGTTTTGATGAATTGTTTTTAAACCGGTCCTTAACTTTAGACCACAAACTCTGTTTAGAGATTGGCTGCGAACTCAGTTTGGTGATTGGGTCAAACACATTTCTGTTGTTGATTGTAAAGGAGAGATGCACATATAGAGCCGCTAGATGTTCCTGAACACTCAGATGAACAAAGCAGAAGACTTTCCCCTGATACCAGCCAAACTCCTCTCTGAAGATCTGAGTGCACAATCCTGAGTACACTGATGCTTCTGTCACATCAATGCCACACTCTCTCACGTCTTCCTCATAGAAGATCACATTGCCTTTCACAAGCTGCTGAAAAGCCAGTTTCCCCAGTTTGAGGATCAGGTCTTCATCCGTCACCTTCTTCTCATAGTCCTTCTCATGTTTGATGTTGGTCTGAAGGATCAGGAAGTGTGTGTACATCTGAGTGAGAGTCTTGGGAATCTCTCGTCTCTCTGCTTCGCTCATCATCTTCTCCAGAACAGCGGCTGAGATCCAGCAGAACACTGGGATGTGGCACATGATGTAGAGGCTCCTTGAGGACTTCAGGTGTGTGATGATTGTATTGGCCAGACTCTGATCACTGACTCTCTTCCTGAAGTATTCCTTCTTCTGTGGATCATTGAAGCCTCGTACCTCTGTCACTCGATGGACACACTCAGACGGGACGAGATCGGCTGCTGCTGGTCTGGAGGTGATCCAGATGAGAGACGAGGGAAGCAGATTCCCCACAATGAGGTTCGTCAACAACACGTCCAGTGAGGCTGATTCACTCTCATCACACAACCTCACATCGCTCTGAAAATCCAGAGACAGACGACACTCGTCCAGACCATCAAAGATGAACAACACTTTATATTTGTCACTGGATATTTCTTTAGTTTCAGGGAAAAAGACATGAAGAAGCTCTGAAAGACTGAGTGTTTTGTCCTTCATCAGATTGATCTCTCTGAAAGGAAGTGGAAATATGAGCTGGACGTCCTGATTGTCTTTCTCTTCAGCCCAGTCCAGGATGAACTTCTGCACAGAGACTGTTTTTCCAATGCCAGCGACTCCCTTTGTCAGCACAGTTCTGATGGGTTTGTCTTGTCCAGGTAAAGGTCTAAAGATGTCATTGCATTTGATCGGTGTGTCCTCTGTTGCTGCTCTCCTGGATTGTGTCTCAATCTGTCTCACCTCATGTTCATTACTGATGTCTCCACTCTCAGTCTCTGTGATGTAGAGCTCTGTGTAGATCTCATTCAGGAGTGTTGGGTTTCTCTGCATTCCTGTTCCCTCATACAGACACTCAAACTTCTTCATCAGATTTGATCTAAACCTGTTGAGGACTTCATGGCTGTAAAATTGAAACACCACAGTATTAATAAACACAGTATATTTTTTAAATCATATATGTTTATAGATATACCTGAGATCAGTCTGTTCATCTTCACTCTTAAAATGTACTGGCCAACTCATAGACGCGTCACTCCTCATAGACACACAGCTGGACTCTGGTCCTGATCTTTTCTGATGAACTGAACTATAACAGAAATAGATTAAAGTTTATACACTGAATTACTGTATTCAAAAATCACATATTAATTTATCCTTTAAGAATATATTTTCACAATGTTGATTAAAAAAAACTTAAAATGAGCCAAGTGCTCTCATTTACATCTCTGATGTGAATATCACGACATACATTCAAATATTAGCTATATATAAATAAGAATTTCTCATATCTTTAAGAAAATATCACCAATATTATTCTGATAATAATAATTTTTAAAAAAATGCTATATTAGTCATATTTTCACCTAATATCACGTTGTGATACTTCACTCCTAAAATGTACTGGCCAACTCATAGACTCATCACTCCTCATAGACACACAGCTGGGTTCTGGTCCTGATCTCTTCTGATAAACTGAACTATAACAGAAATAGATTAAAGTTTATACACTGGATTACAGTTTTCAAAGATCACATATTAATTTATCCTTTAAGAATTTATTTTCACAATGTTGATAAAAAAACTGTAAAATGAGCCAAGTGCTCTCATTTACATCTCTCATGTGAATATCACGACATACATTCAAATATTAGCTATATATAAATAAGAATTTCTCATATCTTTAAGAAAATATCACCAATATTATTCTGATAATAAATAAAAATAATAATGCTAGTCATATTTTCAGCTAATATCATGTTGTGATACACTCTTAAAATGTACTGGCCCATCCATAGACGCTCCTATGTCACTGAAGTCACTCCTCATAGACACACAGCTGAATCTCTTCCGAACTGAACTATAACAAAAAAATAATAATTATAATGGTGGTGATAATATTTTAATATAAGTTCTTAAAAGGTATTTTATTTTAAATGGTATAATGGTTTTCAATAAAATTAAAGTTTTCAACTTAATAAAAAACATTTTCTTGTGTATAAATTAAAGATGATTTAATCTGTAGTTTTTTCAAAATACCTGTATCCTGGATAGAAATCTTCATCTCTGGATATTTGAGTCTCATCCATGATGAAGCTGAACAGTTGAAACAGAATCTGATCTTCAACACTGAATGGAAATGACAAACAAACACAATAATTCACAATAATTCAGCAGAACGGATCCTGAGATTCAGAGAAACAGGATCATGAGACGCGGCGTTCACTCAAATACACACTGTTAGTCGTATATTCACACAATGCTAAATAAACCACAGACAACACGACACAATGAAAGCATGATCTGCTCTAAACTCATAAAATAACTAATATGTCCTTTAGGGGAAAGAGGCTAATATTGGCCTAAATGCGGAAGTCACCTGTAAACGTCTCGAGACCTGAACACTCACCTTGATCAACGTTCATCACATTCAGATTCACAAAATCTACCGCAGTTTCTATCAAGTAAATTCGTGTCTTAGCTTTTATTAAGGTTTCTATGAAACGCTTTGCATTTGATAATCAGTATAGAATCGATTCCGGCGGTTTAAATGGCGAAACATCAACTCTGATCTTTTACTTTCACTTTTTGTTACGCACAAAACAATAACGTAACAACGTACGCGCGCGCTTACGGTCGCGACCCTAACCGCACCAGCATTAAATCAGTGGTGACAAAAAATAATTAATGTTCTTTCTTATGTAACACAATCACACCAACATTAGCCATTAATTTTTTGGTTAACTTGGTCGTTAATGTTGAATGGAGGATGTATATATATATATAGGCTATATATATATATATATATATATATATATATATACATATATATAAAAAGAAGAAGCTGGAACCCACCTTTGAATGGGCTTTATGCACAGCTGCACTACTTCCTGTACTTCAGCCAGCTCCTTGTTTCCTGTCTGCCATTATTGGCCAAATTGATTAATGCAGGTGTGCTTGACCTCAGTACTCATGGCAACAATAATCAGACACACCTGAATTAATTAATTTGACCAATAATGGCAGACAGGAAACAAGGAGCTGGCTGAAGTTCAGGAAGTAGTGCAGCTGGGCATAAAGCCAATTTAATAGACTAAAAACGAGTTAATATGAACCTGCGTGTCTTGTGGAAATTGGACAGGTGTCGTCGTCTTATTCTTCTTCTTTGGTGTTTATTGGAGTAGGGGGAGGCTGCAGACCTGGAGCCGGCAGTTTTACGCCCCTGACAGTTTTAAAAATGGCGAAATAACGTAAAACGACGCTGGAAACAAACACATTAATAACCGTCTAGACTTTAACTAATTTTTATGTATTTGTTTATTTAAATAAACGTTATAGACAGTGGAGTTATCTGCACTATAAGGATTAAAACATGTTCAGTTGGGATTCACTCTTCACTCAGCCTACAGA